TCGAAAATTAAGTTTAATTAAAATTCATCCAAGTAAAATTTGTCTTACTAATTTTTTATCACCCTCAACTGTTGAGCTTGTTGGGCCTGGTACCCAATTTACTGTCAATATGAAAATAATATTTCTTTTCTTCTGGTAACGGCGGACAGAAACCCTCTTCAATTTCCCTGTCGAGGCAAGTCTCCATCTCCGTTATTAAGTTTCTTTTACTTTTTTCTGTTCGTATTATTTCTTTCGGCTAGATTCCAATTCAGGTTTATGTCCATGGCTTCTCACAAGAAAATTGTTTTACAATCCATTAGTCCCCAGTAGAATCAGCACCAGCAGATGGTTTCTTGGTTTCAAGAGTTATTTTTCATTTTCTCGAGTGGAATTTGCGTCTGGCATTATGTGTCTTTCATTCATAAACATATTAATTTTTTTCACTTGAAATTGATGCTCGGTTGTTTCAGATTCGAGGGATGCTTAATTAAATCATTAATAATTCATTTATGACCTCGAAAACCTCTTTTTTAGTGAATAGGTTTTCTTTCGGCACTTAAATTGGAATAATGTAAGCTGCAATTGACAATTTTAGTTTGCTATGTTTATGGGGAAATAGTCTGAAGTTATCGTAAGTTAGGTTGCAATCGGAAATATAACTACTGAGTGACATGATCCATTTTTTATTTTTTAATTTTGTTGCTAAAGTTGTAAACTCATTTTATGTTTCATGTTACTTACAAATGAAAAACAGCTTGAATTGGACCAATATTCTGCTTTTGAACTCTTAAGGAAAGTATGCGAAATGATTACTAACACTGTTGATAGATGGAAATTGAAACTTGAATTGCTTATAGATACCAGTATATATGGTAAATATTGAAGTGAAAGCTTGTGGTCTTTAAATTCCCGTCTAATGAACCAAGGCTTTGCTTATTTATAGGATTTTCAGTTTAGTTAGCATCTGCTCATTTGTTATGTAAGATCTTATTCCACATGGATAAGAATGTCATTGGTGAAGCCGATTCTCACTGAGAATTTTTGTTTAAGCTGTTGGCTGGTGGTTTGGGTTAAAAATTTGCTTGCGTAGTTGTGTTTGGGCCAAGGCTATACAAATAGTATTGAAGCATTTGCCAACTTGTGTCACTGCATTGATGTAAGCTTGGATCTTGGTCCCGTGTTAATTGTAATTGTTGTTCGGCCTTAATGAGAAACCAAAAGAGTGAGAAAGATTGCGATACCTTACCCCGCATGGCCTAGAAATATGATTAATGGACCAATTGAAGGTTTCAGGTCAATCATAATATTTTCTTCTTGTGATAGCTTCTGATTTATTACTTTGTTGCCCATGGCAATAGTTACTTCTTCAAAATCTATTTTAAATTACTGTTGACTAATGCATAAGATATTCTTATTTAGCTTGCAATATATTGCAGTTTGTTAGAAGGTGCTACTTCTACTTTGATGAGCAGGCAGTGACTACCGTCATCAAGATGGCATATGAAATTAGTGAGCAAAAAAGTAAGCATTATTCGCAGTTTATAAGTATCTATTGCTAGGTTCCATGTGCATACATTTACTTTTTAGTCAATGTATGGTACAAGCTAATATTTTCTGCCATGCATAAGTTCACCCTCTTTATGCTTATTATGGCTTATAGGAAAAAAAAATAGCTAGTGTTATTTATAAATGTTGTTATCCGTGCATAAAAATAGTTGGCATATGTAGATAGTTGAGTGAAAAAGAATCCGCCCTTTGTTTGTCCTGGTTTCTATTTTGAATAAAAAAGAATATTTCTTGCTTGACCTTATCAACTTAAATCATGCTAACTTCTGTGTGAATAAAAATTTTCAATGTTTCTTCTTAAAGGTTATGAAATTTTCCTGAGAATGGAATCAAACAAGGAAATGCTGTATCCTATAGTATAGGTTGCTATAATCAGATGTCTTTCATGTTTGGTCACCTGCACACGTAAATTAATTTTAATTTTTTCTTGTTTATAATTTTGTAACCTTAGATATTGCATGCCTTTTATCTGAATTTTCACCCACATTGATGTAACATATGTCTGCTTTTCTACATGCTGACACAGAGACACGATGTATTTTTTATGTGGGCAAACATTTTATGGTGGACAATGTAATTACATGACAGAATGTTATGATTATAATAACTAAAAATAATAGTTGCTTGTTGTTAGTGATTGTTCATCTATTTGTTATCATTAAGTACTATTTTTTTTTTAAAAAAGAAGTCATTAAGTACTACTTAAATTTCCTTTTCCATCCATGCATTCTTGTCTGTTTTTTGGAAGGTGACATTTTCTTTTTATGTATGATTGTTTAGCATGCATGTGAATTAGTGTGTGTGCATGTCTACACATGTGCCTAAATCTGAACACTAACATATATGTATTTGTAGAAAATATAGGAAAATAAATTTGTTTCTTTTCTGTTTTGCCTAGTGGAGAGAATCTCAGAATGGTTATAACCATTTCTGCAAGTCCTTCTCCCCATAAATTTGTTAGGAAGATTTGTTAGTAAGTTGTTATTTTTGTTGCTTTATTTTCTATAAATTATAGCACCACCAAGAATGAAATTAAGACAAGTAGAAGAAGATTTTCCATTCTTCAAACCTTCATAGTATCAGAGCAATTCTGATCCAGGAGAATCATCCCGATTGAGCCGCAGTCAAAAATGGCCTCAGGAAAACTACCGTCTTCTCCACCCGAAATTTCATCGGGCTCTTACTATCCTTCTCCTACCAGCCATGCTTGGTTGAACCATCCGCATCACTCCTCACTGGGTGTAAGCTGAATGGTAGCAATTACCTTCAGTAGTCATCGTCAATATTACTTTTCATCCAAGGCAAAGGTCGCAAAGAGTATCTCATCGGTGAACTCTTACCTCTACCGGCGAATGACCCAAATGCTTGAATATGGAAGATTGACAGCAATATGGTGATTTCGTGGCTCGTAAGCTCGATGATGCCGGACATCGCAAAAAATTTCCTTCTCTACGAGACTGCGCAGAAAATTTGAGAGATAGCTCGAGAACTCTACTCCAACAAGAAAAATACATCAGTTATTTTCGAAATCGAGTCCGCTCTTCACGAACTAAGACAAGGTGAGCTAAATGTAACTCAGTATTATAATCTTCTATCTCGCAGTTGGCAGCAATTGGACGCCTTCGGAGAAAGGAGGTGTAATTGTCCCGAGGACGTTAGAAATTTCCAGTCATTTGTGGAGGAGAAACGTATTTTCAAATTTCTGTTGGGTTTGAACAGCAACCTTGATGAAGTCCGAGGGCGGGTGCTTAGCATCAAACCATTACCTAGCATCTGCGAAGTCTTCTATGAGATTCAACAAGAAGAAAGCCGAAGAAGAGTGATGATGGGTGATGCGCAACTCACTCAATCTGTCGAAAACGCTTCCGCACTCTCGACGAGAACTCAGGACCCGAGGGGGAAGAAATGTCGGCCTTGGTGCGATCACTGCAAAAAGCCTGGTCATGTCGCGACAAATGCTGGAAACTCTATGGAAAACAAGCCGACCAAAAGTCGCCCAGACCAGAAACCGACCACCATGGCAGTCACGCGTCCGCTGGAGAAGCCTCTCTAAGTTCTGTGTAGAGTAACCCCTTTAGCCCTAAGCAGCTGAAAGCACTTCAAAAAATTTTGACCCAAAAAAATTATCAACCTCCCATCAACGTATTAGTGGCACACAAATGTAAAATTCATGGTTTATCTGTGTGTTCAACAAAGCAGGTTTGGGTGGTTGATTCTGAAGCGTCGGATCATATGATTGGAGATGTGTCACTGTTCCAAAATTACAGCAAATCTGAAGAAAATATTTTGATAAAAATTGCTGATGAATCTATCTCCAAATTGGCTGGATGTGGCTCCGTAATTTTATCTCCAAATTTGACACTTCATTCAGTCTTTTATGTGCCAAAATTAAACTGTAATTTGTTATCAGGGAGCAAACTTTGTGGAGAGCAGAAATGTGTTACTAAATTTGTCTCTAATTTGTGTGAATTTTAGGACTTGAACTCGGGGAGGATGATTGACAATGATAGTATGATTTCAGGACTACACCTTCTTCAAGCAGACACTTTTAGGGGACAAATTCAAAATGCAGTATATGCAAATTCTATTTCTATAAGTCATTCAGATAATGACCAAAACGCAGTATGTGCAAATTCTATTTCTATAAGTCATTTCGAAATCTCTCTTGGGAAATATTTCACTGATCATGGCATTATTCACCAAAGTTCGTGTGCCCATATTTCACAACAAAATAGTATATCTGAAAGGAAAAACCGACACATCCTGGAGGTTGCTCACTCAATCATATTTACCACTCACATCCTAAAATTTCTTTGGGGAGAGGCTATACTTACTGCCACTTACTTGATAAATCGGATGTCTTCCCGTATTCTCAATTTCCAGTCACTATATAAATTACTCTCACAAACCTTTCCTGAATCCCATATCCTAAATAGCCTCTCAAAGTTTTTGGGTGTTCTGCATATGTTCATATTCACCCACATCTTCGAGGGAAACTTGATACACGGGCTGTAAAATGCATTTTTGTTAATTACTCTGCCCATCAGAAAGCATATAAGTGTTTAGTTACGGGTACACGTTGATTCTATAAAACCATTGATGTAACATTTTTTGAAAACCAACCATTTTATTCTACAACTGATATTCAGGGGGAGAACTTTACTCAGGAATATCAGTTGTGGAATATTAGCATACCTCCTCTCTATTCATCCCCCTGGAACCTGAACCTATCACCAATACTTCACCAAAAACCACACAGAAAGAACCTGAGCCAGTGTTAGGAACAGAAAACACATTTCCTGCAAATAATGAGTTACGTGTCTACACTAAAAGGAACAAAAACCAAAGAGGGAAGGCACCTGAATCAGACAAGCCTTGCCATGAATCTGTTCCGGCTCCAAGTACTCAGAAATTTACAGGTAATGAGATATCTATCCCTACTACTGATATTGACAATGAATTGCCTATAGATTGAGAAAAGGGACTCGAACATGTACCAAACATCCGATACAGGACTATATCTCATTTGGTAAGTTATCTTCAGAATATCATGCCTTTGTGTGCAGGCTAGATAGTAATTCACCAGAGCCAAAGTCTATTCATGAAGCTCTGGAAATACTGGAATGGAAAACTGCTATCCAAGAAAAGATTAGAGCACTTAAGAAAAATGAGACATGGGAGTTAACTAATCTGCTCACAGGAAAGCGTCAGGTTGGATGCAAGTAGGTCTTTACAACAAAATACAATCCTGATGTGAGTATAAATCGATACAAGGCTCGCCTAGTAGCAAAAAGCTTTACTCAGTCTTATAGGATAGACTATCAAGAAACATTTGCTCCAGTAGCCAAGTATAATACAATTTGGGTATCACAGTCACTTACTTCTAATCTTGATTGGCCACTGTGTCAGGTAGATGTAAAGAACACGTTTCTAAATGGTGACCTAGAAGAAGAAATATACATGGATATCCCATCAGGATTTGAACTAACTGATGATCCTCAAAAAGTGTACAGGCTCAAAAAGTCACTATATAGTCTGAAGCAATCTCCAAGAGCTTGGTTTGACAGGTTCACAAAAGTAGTAAAACAAGAAGGGTATGGACAATACTAATAAGATCATACACTTTTTGTTAAACACTACATCTTAGATAAAAAACTATCTTGATTGTCTATGTAGATGATATTATTTTGATAGGAGATCACATTGACGAAATTTAGAGACTTAAAGAATTCCTAGCTAAAAAGTTTGAAATTAAAAATCTTGTAATGATGAAATACTTTCTTGGTATGGAAGTAGCCTGCTCAAAAAGGGGAATTTCAGTATTACAACGAAAATATGTCCTTTATCTCCTGAAAGAGATCGGAATGCTTGGAAGTAAATCTGCTAACACACCTATGGATCCGACAGTAAAACTTAGATTCGACATCAATGATAAAAAGGTTGATAAAGAAAGATACCAAAGACTGATGGACAAACTCATCTATTTAGCACACACTATACTGGACATCAGTTTTGTAGTTAGTACAGTGAGTCAATTCATGAATCAACCAACTAAGAAGCACATGACAACTGTATATCGAATTCTGAGGTACTTAAAAATGACTCCAGGTTAAGGATTGTTCTTTCAGAAAACAGAAAAAAAAGGATATTGAAATCTTCACTGATGCTAATTGGCCAGGGTCAGTAACTGACAGCAGATCTACATAAGGATATTGTACCTATGTCTGGGGCAATCTAGTAACTTAGTGCAGTAAAAAACAGTCTGTTGTATCTTGTAGTAGTGCAGAATCTGAATTTCGAGCATTTGCTCTGGAATATGTGAATGAGTGTGGTTGAAAAGGATACTTTTAGAACTGAAAGTTTATGATGGTACCTCTATGAAAGTTTGGTGTGATAACTAATCAACTACTAGCATGGCCAAGAATCCAGTTCATCATGACCGAACCAAGCATGTAGAAATCGATTGACACTTTATCAAAGAAAAATTGGAAGATGGATCTATAACCCGTATGCATATCTCAACAAGTCAACAGGTTGCGGACATTTTAACAAAAGCTCTACCAAGAGGAACCTTTGATAATATTGTATCTAATCTATACTTAACATCTATGTAAACTAGATTGAGGGGGAGTGTAGAAAATATAGAAAAATAAATTTGTTTCTTTCTGTTTTGCCTAGTGGAGAGAATCTCAGAATGGTTATAACTATTTTTGCAATTCCTTCTCCCCATAAATTTGTTAGGAAGTTGTTATTTTTGTTACTTTATTTTCCATAGATTGTAGTACCACCAAGAATGAAATTAAGACAAGTAGAAGAGGATTTTCCATTTTTCAAACCTTCAGTATTAAAAGTGAGTTTATAAATTCATCTAAAGATATTTAAATGCATTAGCAGTTAAACCTTTGCCTCTGTCCAAATTTTGATTATTTTAACTTTGCTAATTGAATTGAAATGATTGCATGATATGTGCTGATTACCAGCAGATTGTTCCATACTGAAAACTTTGTGGTAAACTGTTAGCTACTTTCTGTATATGACCTTGTAAAAAAGCACTGTTGTTATTTGCATCTGATTGGTACCTGTTCAATGTATATCTTCCTTTTTTTTGTCTTCTCAAAAAACTAGAGTGGTTTTATCATAGAGCCATGAAAGCTAGGAGGGAGCAGTAAGAAAAATAAATTCGAGACATGATAGAGTTTATCAGTTATTGGTTATTATATGGCTTGAAATTAGATATAAAATTTGCACTATGTTTGGGTAAAAATTGGTGCTGGAATAAAGATGAAAGGAAAGAAAAGAAAAAAAATGGCTTTTGAAATAGAAGTGTTTCAGTTGTTTGAATAACTAAAAAATGAAAAACTAAAGTAAGAATTATTATAATATTTTGTTTGATTTAGCTTGTGAAGGGAAGGAAATGATTGTTTGTAAGAAAGTAGTCAATAATATCTTTATTAATAGAATGGCAAATGAGATTAAAATATTAAATTTCTCTTTAAATTTTTTAAGGCCTTTTTTTTCTCTTAATTTTCTTCTAATTTAGTGGAATGGAAGACTTAGAATTTTAAAGGAAATGAATGATATTGAGCATCCCTTTCCATTACTAATTATTAGTGTTTTATCTGTGGCAAGAAGTTCCCTTCCTAATCTTTTTGGAAGTTGAGAAGCAAGAGAAATGTGGATGATATTTTTTCTAAGAAAGATAGCTTCTCATTGATACTTTTGTACTGGGGGCTTTGTCATTTTCTGGAAGAATGGAATGACGTAGGGATGAGAACAGGGCATCTTTTCTGTAGTCTGTCTGCTTCTTTCCCATGCTCATGAATTTCTTGTTCTTGAAATGAATTGTATTTTTCAGTTTTCTACAAAAGAATGCTGATTGGATCAGTAGACTGTCAAACAGATAGAATACATTACCTTACATTTGACTGACCCTTAAAAGACAATCAGGGTTCAAGACCAGAGTGATTTGCTATTATATCCTAGTTGCCTGGGGGATGAGGAAAATGTAGTAAAACTTTTTTGATAGAAAATAATAGTTACTATTCATGAGAAGCGGGTTTCTGTCTGTATACAAGGTGTATAGGATGAACGAAAAATTTGAAATAATGCATGGTTTTCATCTTTTTTCATGGTACTGATGCATTTGCCAACAACTCTTTTTTGATGGTTGGGCTAAATTTTGGTCAATAGAGTATCAGATTCACTTGTCTTTTCTTTTGTTTCCTATGATAAATTTGCAATAAATTGAACTGAAATTTGGCTTTTAACTTTGAAAATTTGATTTTGATATGCAGAGATAGGATTTGGCCTCCTTGGTTTTGGTTTCTTTTTCTCAATTCTAGGTGTAATTCTTTTCTTTGACAGGGGTCTGCTTGCTCTTGGGAATGTAAGGTTTTTTTCCCTTTTGTTTAAACTCTTATAGAACTTTGTATTACTCTTTCCTGATATAACATTTTGCAAACAAAGTTGTAACATTATTTATGCCTATCCTGTAATCAGATATTCTGCTTGACTGCTGTGGCAATTTTGCTTGGTTGGCAGTCTACTTGGACACTTTTTACTAGCAGAAAAAATTACAAGGTATTATATGAGTTAGATTATACAATGCTGAAGCCACAAAGACACTCATTCTCTTAAAGACTTCTCTTCTTTTTTAAATTTCCTCTTTACTTGAGCTTCTCAGGACAAAAATGCTTTACTTGAGAGATCTACTTCACATTTGGAATTGAACAAAAACGAGTATTTTTGTTAGATAGTCTATGGGAAATTTGGAAGTACATCAAAAATTGCTGTCTGATTTGGCAAACAAAAATCGAGTATGTTATAAATAATTTATTAATCAGTTGAATATTTAGGAATTAAAATAAGTTACGAATTAGTTAGTTTATTAGATCTTATCAGATTCAGGTGCTTCAAAGCTTAGAGATACAAGCAACGGAATGGAAAGTAGCTTTATGCTTGTTTCAATACATGAGGGAACATTGGACTCTTCATAACACCATACTCTATATAAGCTAACACATGGTCATTGAAGAAAACAAGGAGAAAAAGTTTGTGTGACGAGGAAAAATCCTATAATTTTCTTCAATCTTACATGGGTACAAATATGCCAAATATATAGGCATTTGGCCAAGACAAAAAACAGTTAAAAGATGCTAACAAAAAGCTAAAGAGTTAGTGGAGAGAACACCCAGCTGTCTTAACAATACCAGCTGTCCCTAATGTAAGTATACATGTATATATACATTCCTACATATGAACATTCTACACTCCCCCTCAATTTAGGTTACATAAATGTTAAGTAACCCTAGATTGGATATAAGATTATTGAACTCCCTTTTTAGTAGTGCCTTGGTGAGTATGTCAGCTGTTTATTGACTAGTCGGGATGTATAGGAGTGACACATTTGGACTTTCAATTTTTTCTCTGATGAAGTGATGATCAATCTCAACATGTTTAGTTCTGTCATGGTGCACAAAGTTCTTGGCCATGCTAATAGTTGATTGCTTGTCACACCAAATCCTCATTGCAATAGGAGCAGAAAATCTTAGTTCTAGTAGAATCTTTTTAAGCCATACTCCCTCACATATTCCATGTGTAAGTGATCGTAATTTAGCTTCAACGCTGCTTCTTGATACAACAGATTGCTTCTTACTACGCCAAGTGACTAAATTACCCCAAATATAAGAGCAGTAACCAGATGTGGATCTTCTATCTGTCACAGATTCAGCCCAATCAGCATCAGTATAGATCTCAATATCTTTGACCATATTCTTTTGAAAGAATAATTCTTGTCCAGGTGTCATCTTTAGATACCTCAGAATACGATAAACAACCCACATGTATTTTTCAGTAGGTTGAGACATGAACTGACTCACAATAATAATAGCGAAACAGATGTCAGGTCTTGTATGAGCCAAGTAGATAAGTTTGCCTACAAACCTTTGATACATTTCTTTATCAACAGACATTGTCACTTTTGAAACCAAGTTTAGTGTTTGTTTCCATAGGAGTCTCAGCAGGTTTACAACCAAGTATGCCTGTTTCATTTAGGAGATCTAAGATGTACTTTCGTTGAGATATAGAAATTTCTTTTTTGGATCTGTCAATTTCCATTTCAAGGAAATACTTGAGCAACCCAAGGTTTTTGATTTCAAATTCTCTAATTAGAAAGTCTTTCAGTTTCTGAATTTTTTCACTGTGATCACGTGTAAGGATAATATCATCCACATAAATAATTAATATAGCTCTTCTCCCTGTGATACAATGCTTGACAAACAGGGTATGATCGGATTGACATTGCTGATATCTCATATGTTTTACTGCCCTGGGGAATCTGTCAAATCAAGCCATTGGAGACTGTTTGAGGTCATACAGTGCCTTCTTTAATTTAGATACCTTTTGAGGATTCATTTTGAGTCCAGGTGGGACTTCCACGTACACTTCTTCATCTAGGTCACCATTAAGGAAAATGTTTTTTACATCAAGTTGATAGAGAGGATAATCAACATTAGATGCTAAAGAGAATAATACCCGAATTGTGTTGTGCTTGGCAACATGAGCATATGTTTTTTGATAGTCGATGCTATATGATTGGGTAAATTCTTTAGCAACAAGTCGAGTTTTGTAGCGGCTTATACTATCATCAAGATTGTACTTGGTGGTGAAGATCCACTTGCATCCAACAGGAGCATTCCCTAAAGGTAGATCAGATAATTTCCATGTTCCATTTTTCTCAAGGGCTGAAATTTTTTATTGGATAGCATCATTCCATTTAGGAATCTTGAGAGCTTCATGAACTGTTCTTGATTTAGAAGGGATGCTATCAAAGTTGCTCACAAGTGCATGATACTTCGAAGACAGCTTGCCATAAGAGACACAATCCTGTATGAGATGCATAGTACAAGAACGAACCCCCTTTCGTAATGCAATAGGTAAACCAATATCATCAGTAGAGTCAGAAATCTCATTATTTGTGTTATTTTAGGTGCTTAGTTCAGGAGTTGAGTCATGGCAGAGTATCGATGGTTCAGGTACTTTATCTTTACCTTGAGTTTTGTTTATCGTTGTATAGACATGCAACTCACTAACTACAGGTAATGTGTTATCAGTCTCTGTGATAGGTTCAAGTTCTCTGATGGTTTCAGGAAGATGATCTTTTTCTGAAGTTGTCAACGGATGATCTTTTTCTGAAGTTGTCAATGGAGTTTGTAGAGGAGGGATATTCACATCCCACAATTGATATTCCTGAGTTCCAGATGTTTCCCCCCTGAATATCAAGAGTGGGATAAAATGGTTGGTTTTCAAAAAAAGTAACATGCATAGTATTATAGAACCGACGGGTTATCGGACAAAAATATTTGTAACCTTTTTGAGAATTGGAATACCCGACAAAAACATATTTAAGGGCTTTAGGATCCCTCTGAGGTGACCGTGAATGTAAACATAGACAGAATAACCAAAGGCTTTAAACGGAATTGTGTGAAGGATGTGCGATGTTGGGAAGGTTTGAAGTAGTGAATCATAAGATGTTTTAAACTTAAGGATACGGGAGGACATTCTGTTGATCAGGTATGTGGCTGTGAGGATAACCTCTCCTCAAAGGTATTTAGGGACATTTGTGGTAAACATGAGAGAGCGGGACACTTCAAGAATGTGCCTATTTTTCCTTTCGGCTACACCATTTTGTTGAGGAGTGTAGGGACAAGAACTTTGATGGACAATACCTTGACAAGAAAGGAATTTGCCTAGGTTGGATGCAAAATATTCACATGCATTATCTGTTTTCAACACTTGTATTTTTGTTTGAAATTGGGTTTGAATCATAGTGTTGAATTTTTAAAAGATTTCACCAATCTCAGATTTTTCTTTCATCAGATAGACCCAGGTTATTATAGTGTGATCATCAATAAAGGAGATAAACCATTTTGTGACAGTAATATTTTTTACCCATACCGGTCCCCATATATCACTATGAATTAATGTAAAGGGTTTTGAGGGTTTGTAAGCAATATTGGGATATGAATTGCGAGTATGTTTAGACAATTGACATATTTCAAATTGAAATGAATTTAGATTTTTATTTTTGAATAAAGCAGGAAATAGTTGTTTTAAGTACATATAATTTGGATGTCCTAATCTATAATGCCATAACATAATAGATTCATCAATATTAGAAGATCCTACAGATACTGAATTAGCACATACTGCACTTGAAGTTTATCTATTAGGAGGTGAGATTTTGACTGGTAGAAGATAAAGTTCTGAGTCCTTAGCACTGTTAATCATTGTGCTAGTGGTCAAGTCCTGAAAAACAAAAGAATCACTGTCAAATTTAACAACACAGTTCAAGTCGTTACGTAATTTACTTACAGACAGCAGATTGCAGTCTAGATTAGGCACATAAAGAACGGACTGTAATATCAAATTTGGTGATATAATGGTTGAGCTAACTCCTGCAACTCTAGAACTTGTTCCATCAACAATTCTGATTAATGAGATTTCGTTATATTCACTGTACTAATGAAGGAGTGTAATGTCTCCGGTCATATGATCAGATGCTCCTGAATTAATAATTTACATTTGCTTTTTCATAGAGTAAGCAGATAAATTGAGTAAGCAATTACTTCTTTGAGCAAGGAAGCACTACCGAGAATATCCTTTAGAGAAAACATTTGCATGAGCCTCTAATTAGGTTGGATTGAAAGGAGAGCTCTCGGTAGTACTGGCTGCAGGGGATAATTCTTTTGAAATTACCATATTGCTCTAAGTGTTATTTTTGTAATTTTTCCTATCTGCTGGCTTGTCATGTAATTTCCAGCATTTATCCCTAATATGACTCGGGTTTTTGCAATAATCACATCAGGGTCTCCCTTTTTTTCCTCCAGCTTCAGAAGTACGCCCGACGAAAGTAGAGGCGTGCTCGTGATTTAGGGCACCAGGCTGAGGTTCACTGAGCAGCGGCCTCTAAGCAGCAAGGGTAGAAGTTGTGTCTATAGGGTTCGTATCATAGTAAAAATCACCCAGCATGATCTTCTTTGTATTCTTTTCTCGACGGACTTCAGAGAAAGCTTATCTGAGATTCGGCAGCGGCTTTGTACCCAGAACGCAACCACGAACCTTATCCAAGTTTTTGTTGAGTCCCATAAAAAATTTGAAGACCCTTTTGTGTTCAGTGTGAGTTTTGAAGAGTTTCGAGTCTTCGGAACAATTTCACGGGTGTTCCTCGAAGACGTCAAGTTGCTGCCAGTGCCGAGAGAGTGCATTGTATTACTGTGTTACAGTGAGCTCCCATGGTTGCAAGTCCTGCAACTGAGTCTCGATTTCGAAGGTGGCAGAGGTATTGTCTCGGCTGGAGTAAAGCTTGCGTGCGGCCACCCATATGTCGTGTGCGATTTCATACAGCAAAATTTTTTGTCCAATGTTTGTCGTCATTGAGTTGACTAACCAAGACATTACCAGATTGTTTTTGGCCTTCCATGAACGGGCACTTGGATCATCCGTTGGTGGTTGAATAGCTTCTCCCGTAAGGTATTTATCCCTGCTTTTCCCTCTGATGAACATGAGAGCGGACGAAGACCATTGGAGATAATTACTCCCATTCAGTCTGTGTCCAGTGACAAATAAAGGTGTCTGGTCAATGTGAGAATGGTTGATAGGTATTGAATTGAAGGAACCTGAGACATGATCAATGTGAGAGGAGTTTTGCTCATCCATGGCCATTTCGGCTTGAGTTGGATGATGAAAGATTTTGGATATGAGTTACCACTCTGATACCATGAAGAAAACAAGGAGAGAGTTTGTGTGACGAGTAAAAATCCTCTAATTTTTTTTAATCTTACATGGGTACAAATGTGCCAAATATATTGGCCTTTGGTCAAGACAAAAGACGGTTAAAAGATGCTAACAAAAACTAAAAAATTAGTGGAGAGAGCACCCAGCTGTCCTAACAATACTCGTTGTCCTAACAATACCAACTATCCCTAATGTAAATATACATGTATATATACATTTCTACATATGAACATTCTAGTTTTCTTTTAAATAAATAACAAGAGTGCTTTATCCTTGAGAAATTTTAGTAACATTTGGCATGTGGTTGAGTTGGAGATTCCTAAGTTGCATTCATATAGTTTTAAGATGCTGAGTGTTGGCTTTGAAAAACAAGGGAAAAAATGTTGGGGAGTGTCCAAGAAACTTTTTTCAACTTCAAATGGATAGCATCTTTCTCTATGGAATTGATGCTGCTCAGTTTCCTCATGCCTAACTTTAACAAGAACACTGTAAAACTTGTGCAAAATTTATTTCCCCATTCAATTTCAAATGACTTATTTCTTTTTTCTTTGTGGATTTATCAGTGTTAATAGTTCATTGTTCGTTAAAGCCATTTTTTCTCCCTTATTGGCTATGCAATTTCTATGTTATATCCTATTCTTTCATGATAGTTTTGAATTGTCTCCGTCTATTATTGTTTTATGATACTCCTTTCTTTCGGGCTGGAGTTAAAGGCTTTCATATAGTTTATAAGAAGTACTTTTCCCTTGTTTTAATTCTGTCAATCTAAAGACAGAATTGCATGACAGTACAATGATTTGACATGAGCAGATCTGGAACAAAGCAGGCATTACATTTGATTTTTTCTTCTGCAGGGTACTGTTTCTTTCCTATTTGGCCTCTTTTTCATTTTTGTTCGTTGGCCAGTAGTTGGAATAATCTTTGAAGTTTATGGTTGCGTTGTCCTATTTGGGTTAGTTTATAATTTTAGTGATAAATTCTTAGCTAGATAATTAACTTTATGCTTTCAAATTCTGTTTCCTAATTGGATTGACATTTTGTTGCAGTGGCTTTTGGCCTTCTGTCAAGATGTTTCTTAATCAGATTCCATTTGTTGGGTGGATTATACGATACCTGTAATGGTAAGTTAATTTATGTTCTTTTTGTTAATGTGGATAGAACTGATAAATGAAAGTATGATGAAAATAGGAAGCATTTAATTTATAGTTGTAAACATGAAATCTGGTTCTTATTTTGGAAGAAGATTCTTGACCTAAATCATTTATGACGTTGTAAAGCACGAAGGCACGTATAGTATAATGGATATTTGTTGTTTTCTTGACACCCTATTTTTCATACATCCAATGAATTCGACAGCTTGTTGAGATGCAGCCATAAATTTGTTTTTTAATGCATTTGCTGGTGAAAAATAGCTAATTGCTTATATCTGCCGTTGTTGATCAGTATTTAACTAAAGGAGAAAAAGGGTAGTCAAACCAGAGACATGGAAGGAAAATATTGGTCTTATTATTCTTCCTAGTATACATGTTCCCAATATGGATATATATATATATGTATATATATGTATACATGAGGAAGCTAGGTTTATGTAACAGCCGGATCTGAAAATTTAGTTCAGTATAATTTAATATATATAAAATAGTAAATTAAAATAATTTTAATTTTAATTTTTTTAAAAAATTAGATTTTAAGATATATTTGAAAATATTTTCAAAAATAAGAAATAAATTAGAAATAAAAAAATTTAAAACGAAATTTAGAAAATTGGAGTAAAAATGAGATTAATAAAATTTTGACCACATGGACTGCCACGACAGTAGCACGGTTGATCTTTGTGCGCAGTGTGGCGGACACGTGGACACGCGGGAGGCTCTGCAGGCGATTCGCATACCAGCAGATCTAACTGTGCAGATCGCATCCTGCTTGCATGGACAACTCAGATCCATTTCTTCTTCAGGCGTGATCGAACGGTTGGATTTGATTAGATCATGCGGTTCAGATTAATTCTCCAAACAAGAACGATCCAACGGCTGAATATGAGCCACATCTCTTCGAATGGAAGACCTAACTTTAATAAAAAGGAGTATTTAAACTCATTTTCATAGGAAACTCTAACTCTAGCCGCTAGAGAGAAGATCATATAAGAAGAAGAAGGGCAGCCGAAAATCGAACCAGTCGCCAGAGAAAAAGACCGGCCATCGTTGCCGCTGCACCAGAGCCACCGCCAACACCGAAAAGGTAAAATCTTTTTCCTTTTTCGTTTGAAATTGAATTTCGAACCTCTCCACACCCATATCGAATCCAAAAGGCCAAAGGGTGAGGTGAAAAATGCGAGCGGAGCTCGGCCGAGCCGTGGTGGCTGTGACTCGAAAACACCTCTGATGAGCTCCTTTTCGTTTATCATTTTTGTCACTTTTTTTACCTTCGTGTTCCTCGTCTCATTCCAGGCTAGCTGAAGGGAAGCCCCAACTGTAAGAAAGGAATGGTAGGCCACTATACCAAAAAAATTCTTCGCCGGTAGGGTCTCGGTTGTTCCATTTTTCGACCAACAGAGGCTCCCTAATCCTGTTTTTTGCAGGTTTCCATGTAAAATTGGACAAAATCAGCTGAAAACAGCCAGACCAAGAGGAAGCATCGCGGTGGGCGGCGAAGCTGGTGCCACTGTTGTGTCGGAATCCTAAACTGGCCGAAAAAAATATAAAAATGCTCATTTTGAATTTTTTAGAGTATTTTAGAATACGTAACGCATGTTTTTTATTTTTGCAAAAAAATCCAAAAAACTCGAGAACTGTCAGGAGGTAATGTGAAAAAGACGGTGCATCAAACACCGATTCGGGGTAAGAATCTCTTACTCTTTTCTTTTGTTACGGTAAATTAAAGTTTAATAATTAATAATAGTGTTTATTGTAAAAATTAGAAATTTCTAAATTAATTACAGGTCACAAGTGGAGTCGGAAATGGTCAGTGTATATTTGTCCTAACTGTGTTGTCTATTTATCCCTATACCTCCTTAAATTGCTATTATTTATTAATTTAAATTACTTTCTTTTCATTGATTGCTTGACTAATTGTTCTCACCTGTTGATTGATTCGAAGCAAATGCCCTAATCATGTTTTCTTGATTTTTGTATTGTTTATTTGCATGACTTACTGATGATTTATAAATATGATATGTTGGTATGTAATGGGTGATTAGTTGATGATGTAGATATATGTATGAAATGTTTATTGGGTACTCTGGGGAAGGGTGTACGAATCCGGTGCATAGGAAAAATTCTACCATAGACATTACCTTAGTCGAACAGGGTTGAAAAATTTTATACCGAAAGAGGTTGGGAGGTACAGTTCACTCTCATATCAGACGGAGTATTGAGGTGGTGATATGTTTAGTGTCTATTACCGGACGGGGTATAGGATGACCGGTTAAATAATAAATTGGATATTGGATCCATGTGTAGAGGATCCCTATGGAATCTCAGAGGTACTAGTAAGCGGGTGCGAAAGTAAGTTTACTGTTATCGTTCATTTAAATATGTAATAAAGTGCTATCATGGGTATTGTCTTCATAGATCGGTTTTGGAAACTCATAAGGGTAAGTATGGAAATAACGGTTTTTATGTTAAATGAATTTATTTAAAAAGAGATAATATTTCCATTAGTTGTTTTATGATTTTTACCAATATTTAATTTTTTATATCGGTATTAAGCGTAATATTCTTATTAGAATAGTGTAATTCATCCCCTTTAACCATTTCAGATCAGGAAGATTAAGATCTAGTTCTTGAACAGTAAGAACGTTACGAATAAAAGCTGCATTCCGCATCCCATCAGAGTTGACCAGTGGAAGTTAATTCTATAGGATTTTAGTGTGTTTTCTTTTATTTATTTATTTTGTTATTTAAACTTCCTTAAAAGGACATTCCCGTAATCCTATTGGGTATCCTGATTCATTGTGTAAGGAATATAAATCCAAAAATCTTAATTGCTTCTGCCATTACAATATATATTCATTTTCTTAAGGTTTTGGATTTTTACAGTTGGTATTAGAGCCGTATTCCTGGAACTATTTCTTGCACAAAGATTAGAATCATTCAATATAACCTGACATTCAACCCTTCTTTATGGAATACAGGTATAAAGATATGAAGAGAGGAAGATCTCCACTAAACAGGGTAGCCTGGGATGGGTCACTTTGAGAGAATATCGATTGGCTCTTCGAAATGCTGGAGAGACTTATCTTTGCCCAACAGGCGAGAGAAGAGAGGAGGGAGCTGGCTGACCCTCCACCACTGTCACAGTATGAGTCATCCCTGCAATGAAAAGACCTAGTGCCACTCCGATACAGCTCTGCTCCTCCACTGTATCATTCAGCACCGTCACAGTATAATTCGGTACCATACATCTAGGTGCGGCCACAGGGTCATTTGGCCCCTATCCTGCATAATTCAGTCCCTCTTCACAGACCTAGTTCCGCTTGTGATGAACCCAAGCTATATTGAGAGGTACAAGAGACTTAACCCATTTATTTTTGTAGGGGTATCCACTTTTGAAAAGGCCGAGTGCTGGTTAGTAGAGACAGAAAATGCATTTACAACTCTTGGGGTGGTTTCCAAACAGAAGGTCATACTTGTTACCTACATGCTCATGGGTGAGGCAGGTCGCTGGTGGCAGTTGAAGCAGATCACCCTGCCCATTCCGGTCACTTGAGAACAATTCCTGATAGTTTTCAATGCAGAGTATCACCTAGAGCACATTCAGCATTTGAAGGAGATGAAGTTTGCACACTTGGTCCAGGGTGAGATGACAATGTCTGAGTATGCCCGAAAATTCTTGAAATTGGACCAATATTCTTCTGAGAGTATGATGGATGAAGGCAGAAAGACAAGAAAATTTGAGTGGGGCCTTCGTCCTGTGATCAGACAACAACCGTATGTATTCGAACTCAGTACCTACGCAACAGTTCTTGTCAAGGCACAGCTGATAGAAAGAAACCTTCACATTTTTCCTCAAGCAGTGGAAAATTCCAGACCCCCAGTTCCATGTTGCAGGCCAGCACCTACTGCACCGATTCAGCAAAACAAGCGACCAAGACCCGCGACTCAAGTTCCTTCTCAGGTCTCGGCAACAACACAGTAGGACTTGCTAGTATTGTGGCAAGGACCATAGGGACCGACTCTGCTATCGCCTCAACAATACCTGCTGCATATGTGGAAGTACTCAGCACTACGTGAAAGTATCCGCGGAATCAGAATTAGGTCAAACCTCCAATTCAGGGCAGAGCCTACACCCTCACCCAGCAGGTTGCTAAAGCCAACCCAAACGTGATACATGGTGCGTATACTATTTGTAATTACCTTGCGCATGTTTTAATTGATGTTGGTGCTTCACATTTTTTTGTTTCACATGCTTTTGCAATTTGAATATGTTACATGAAAATTTTGATTCTGTGTTGTTTATGTCTATTTCTGGGAATGAGACACTACTAAAGAATGTCATATACAAAGTTTGTATCGTAAAAATAGCATATTAAAATTGAGTGTAGACCTAATAGCACTAGACATGGAGGATTTTGATATAATTCTGGGATGAATTAGTTAACGGTGTATCATGCTACCGTAGATTATTTTCATAAAAATCTTGTATTCAATCGTCCTAACGAAGAGTCCTTCACCAATTAATAAAAATTTTAGATATTATTCTCTCATGGTAACTACATTAGTTATATGATGCTTTAACTCAGTTGTTCTTTTATACATTAGGCAAGTTTAAGAAAGAAATTTGCATTCAAAAGATTTTTGTGGTATGAGAATTTCTGAATATTTTTCCTGATGAACTACCTGTACTGTCGGTGGATAGGGAAGTTGAATTTACGATAGATTTTCAGCCTAACACCTATCCCATTTTAGTTGCCCCTTACTGTATGAGTCATGTTGAGATGGAGGAACTGAGGAAACAGATTAAGGAATTGCAGGATAGTGAGTTCATCTGACACAGTATATCTCCTTAGGGTGTCGGAGTCACATTTGCAAGAAAAAGGAATGAGTCCCTGAGGTTGTGTATGGACTACAGGAGGTTGAATATGGTCACAATCAAGAACAAGTATCTCCTCTTTAAGATCGATGATTTTTTCGATCAGTTATAGGGTGCTCATGTTTTCTCCAAGATTGACTTGTGTTCCGGTTACCATTAGGTAAAAATCAGGGAAAATAACATCTCCAAGACGATCTTTAGAACCTGTGCGGGCACTATGAGTTCTTGGTCATGTCATTTAGGTTAACTAATGCACCAGTTATTTTTATGAACTTGATGAACGGAGTTTTTAGATAGTTTTTAGATCAGTTTGTCATAATATTTATTGATGATATCCTGATCTATTCAAAAAATAGAGAGGAACACGTTCAGCACTTGACTCAAGTTTTAAAGATTTTTCGAAAAAAGAAGTTATATGCAAAACTGAGCAAGT